CTTAGCCTCAAAAAACAGATGGACAATGAGCAGGCTGCCTATATTCTTCCGTACATAACATTCAGCCTTGTCTTGATACAGAAGTATAAAATAGGCGAATCATGCAAAAATGTACATTGGTTGCTAACAGAAACCAAACAAAACCCCATGATAGAACACTGTGCTGCCTATGTAACAGGATCACATTCCTGAAACACCTGCTGTGGCAATATGCAGAATCCATTTCTCAGAGCTGCTGACCTGCCTTAGCAGGCAGATCTATCGGTATAACAGATACTTAATAAGAATGCATTGAAACCAATGACACTGTGTAGTTTGAGGGTAGCCCTCCAGGTGTCTTTGGACTTCAGCTGCCATCAGTTCCAACTAGCTTGACCAATGGTCAGGGATAATGGGAATTCAGCAACATGTGGAAGGGAAGGCTCCACACTGGCTACCCCGCCATGGTTTATCTTGCTTTCTTCAGGGTACAAATGAGGCTTGATTGGTAGAGCCGGTTCTTGCGAATATGGGCCAGATTCAACTAATGAGTCCCATCAGCTGAAGCCCAAACAAGGACTTCCACTACAGCAATGGGTCCTTCCCTGTACTCGCCCCCCCCCATGTACTTCCCATTGGCACATTTGGGGAGGAGAGGAAAGCAGAAACACTTTGTGCTGACAGAGTGGTCTCCTTAGCGCTAGGTTGAATTCCTCCCTCTGTTTTGCTTACCGAGTTGTTACTTTAGTGTTTACACTGCCAGAGGAGAAGCAGTTATACCTCCAACATTTTGTGTGACAGGCTATACTACTATTCAGGCCCAGCACCAGGACCCACCATTCTTAGTCCCCTCCCCCCATCCATGCAGCTGAGGCCTGGCCTGCCCCCTCCACCTTAAACTATTCTTTCCAGGCTATAGTGCCAGCATTTTTTATTATTATTATTATAATGATTTATTATTTATACCCCACCCATCTGACTGGGTTTCCTCAGCCACTCTGGGCGGCTTCCAGCAGAATATTAAAACACAATGCTTCATCAAATATTAAAAGCTTCCCTAAACAGGGCTGCCTTCAGGTGTCTTCTAAAAGTCCAATAGTTGTTTATTTCTTTGACATCTGATGGGAGGGCAATCCACAGGGCAGGCGCCGCTACCGAGAAGGCCCTCTGCCTGGTTCCCTTCAACCTCACTTCTCATAAAGAGGGAACCGCCAGAAGGCCCTCGGCGCTGGACCTCAGTGTCCGGGCAGAACGATGGGGGTGGAGACGCATTTTATTTTCCCCCAATGCTCCCAACATAGCTTTGCTCTAGGGCATTATGGGAAGTTAAAATGGACATCTCTGTTGAAGTGCAGCACTTTTGCCCCCTGCTGTTGCTACCTCCAGGAACACCCTCTGGCGAGGGTGGAGGGGGAATCCACTGAGGTAGGAGAGGGCCCCATCAGTGGGCATTTTGTCCAATTCAGCCTCAGACCTGGAGCTGTCCCTTGGTACAGAATGCTTTACAAATATGAAGTTCCACGTTCAGTGTCTCTGTTGAAACACCCCATGTACCAGGGGCTCAAAAGGACCCAGAAAAGATACCAGTCAGAGCTGTAAACACAGTATAGGGCAAGATGGACTATCAGTATAAGGCAGCTGCTTTGACTCCAAACCTTTTATTTTCTGCTCTGTCATGCTGACAGGCATGACGGGGCTAAACCTAATTGTTTGTGACAAGGTGTCAATAGCTTATCCAGCTACAATCCAGGCATCTACTGAGGAGCAACAGCACTGGGATGAATATTTTATTCCCACAGTACAGTGGCAGGCAAAGTTTAAGGTTACCATACTGAATTCATTAAATCTGCTCCGTAGTTTTTGACCTTAATGCTGTATCAGTGCTCAGAATATGGAAGGGTCTTCATGAACTCCACAAGTCCCACCCCCTGTCTTCCATTTTGGTCAACCATGGCTGTCACATTGCCTTCTAAAGACATTAGCTAAGGATGCCAACTCAAATGGTAAGTGGCTCACTCTGAGCTCCTCTGCAATTTGAGTATTGTTCCTTCTCATGCTGGGTCTTGCTTTAATTACTTTAATTGGCTGCCTGTCATAATTTCTGCCTGTGTTCCTGGAAGTTTGCTTTAGGTTCTCTTCTCTGAAGCCGTTACATGTGAATCCCACCAGGAGTCAATCACAGGCACACTTGTCTGGTAATAACAAATACAATGATGCTTACGTTTGAATAGAATTGCATTGTCCCACCTCCTGATTGACAGAACATGAAGCTGACAGGGGATGGGGAAATAATTCTGGCTTTCAAGACCATTGATGCATTGATGACATTAAAGGCTTCAGCAACCTTTCATTAATCTAACGAAGGAGCACTGTTGTTGTTTATTGACCACAACAGGACAAACAAGTAGTAGTTTTGCAAAGAAGAAAAAGAGGAATATGGCATTGCATTTCTATAAAGTAACTTAGGATGCTAGACCATAAAGAAGGCTGAGCGCTGAAGAATTGATGCTTTTGAATTATGGTGCTGGAGGAGACTCTTGAGAGTCCCATGGACTGCAAGAAGATCAATGCATCCATTCTTAAGGAAATCAGCCTTGAGTGCTCACTGGAAGGACAGATCATGAAGCTGAGGCTCCAGTACTTTGGCCACCTCATGAGAAGAGAAGACTCCCTGGAAAAGACCCTGATGTTGGGAAAGATTGAGGGCACAAGGAGAAGGGGACAACAGAGGACTAGATGGTTGGACAGTGTTCTCGAAGCTACAAACATGAGTCTGACCAAACTGCGGGAGGCAGTGGAAGACAGGAGTGCCTGGCGTGCTCTGGTCCATGGGGTCACAGAGAGATGGACACGACTAAACGACTAAACAACAACAACTTATGATGCAAAGTGGTCCTCTCCTAAGTCTTAGTGTGCTCTGTTGGAGGAGGAAATGAGCCAGCAGAGAGAAGGCAGAAGGCCTTCTCGGTAGCAGCACTCTCTCTGTGGAACACTCTTCCTTCAGATGTCGAGGAGATAAAGAACTACATAACTTTTAGAAGACATCTGAAAGCAGCCCTGTATAAGGAGGTTTGTTTGGTATTTTAGTATGTTTTATATATGCTGTAAGCCGCCCAGAGTGGCTGGGTAAACCCAGCAAGATGGGCAGGGTATAAATAATGAAATAATTATTATTATTATTATTTAATAATAATAATAATAATAATAATTAATAAAAGAATATACCTTCCTGCCTATGGAAAGACTAAAAATTGGCATGGCTTTTGGTCCATAATTGGGCCAATAGGAGAAAGCAGTTCTATTTTTTTATACTGGTTGGAAGAAAAGTTATTGGAAGTTAAAGGGCGCTTTCTGTTGAATTTGTACTGTTGTTATTTTTTGTAGTTTGCATTGCCTGACTAGTCCAGCTTGTTCACTACCTACTCAACCTTTATGGTTGTAACCAGTACAGAACAAAACAAAACACCTAAAGTCTCATTTCCAAAAGCTGCTATAGAGCTTTGTCAGGGAAAGTAGGAAATAGGAAACAAAACAAATATTCTTATTTTGAATCATGCCTTGTAATATTCTGCTCCTATTATTGGGAACATATCCTACCCATCAAGCTACTCTTTCTTAAAATTTCTGCTTGAAAACCACTTTTGCAATGCTGTTGAATGGCTCAGCCCAGACATTTTCAATTTGTTTTCTTCTGTTTTCTCTTATATCATTCTGAAGAATCTTGTCGTTCTCCTTAATCTTTGCCCCACCAATCTACTCTATTTATATTGTACTTGTGGCAGTGGTGCATCTGCCGCCAGTTGGCTGAGTTACTGTGATGGCATTTTGCACATATATGTTTAAAAGATTTCCATCTTGCGTTATGACTGACTGAGCCGATATTTGTGCTGGCATTCACCTTCTTTATTCTGCAGTATCTAAGATCCGTCACATAAAGTATTGTTAGTTTGGGCCTCTGGCATATCCCATATTATTTTTATTTTTATGTAATGTGCTTTTATTGCCAATTGTGTGCAAAACAGAACAGAGATTGTAAGTACCTGCTACGACTTATATGTAAATTATGCTTGCTGTAGTCATACCGTTGCACTGGCTGGCAAATCCATGTTTAATCTGGTGTGCTATAGGAATATTCACCAACTAAATCAAAGACCAAAATCTTACCACGTACCCAATCTAATCTGTCAGTTGACAGAGCTACCAGTATTTGCACACTGAGGCAAGATCATCAAGGCTGATTGAGTGCTGCAAATGGAGATAGAACTACGGTATTTGCTGAATGTTGGCAGTCCCGCAACTGCAAATTAATGCAAATTAATAGTGAGTGCTGGGAAAGCCAACTTATGTGATCACTTGCCTGGTGTTTTACCACTAGTGACTGGCCTCTACAATGCAGTCACTTCAAATTGTCCATGTAGTAGGGTCTAACTTTAAATGACTGTGTTATATTGGTGCCATAGAAAGGTAAATTCCTTATTATTGCTGGATAGCACAGCCATCTTTTCTAATTCCCCCTGAGCCTGCTTGCCTGGATCAGGTTTGATTTTTGACCTAAATGGAAAGCTGAATGGAAAAGGCCACCTGTCAGATCCTGAGCATAATGGCTGGATGCCATTTGGAGTTATGTAGACCACAGCAAAAGTTCTCATTAAAAAGCAGCAGCTTTAGAGCAAGACTTGGAAGAGTACAAATGCTAACTGGCTTCTGAAATGTTCCATCAGAGAGAGCAGCAGCCTTAATTAAGGAACTAAGCAACTCACAGCACATGACAAGACTTGGAATCATGCTTGAGCCTCAGCCTGCGAGGTGCAGAAAATGAAGGGAGGGTATTAGACAGCAAGCACAAGGTTAAGAGTTATAATGAAAACCTGAGCAGCAACTGGGAAACTTTTCTGAAGATACCATAGAAAGATAGGAATCAGCCTTGTACCATTGGTCCTTCTAGATAAGTATTGTCTACAGTGACTGACAGGCTCTTCAGGATTTCCAACAGTGTGTCCCACCCCACCCCCCACCCTACCTGGAGATGCCAGGGATTGAACCTGTGACCATGCAAACAAGATGCTCTACCTCTGAGCTATGGCCCTTACCCAAGGCTCCATTTGATACTATTATTTGTAATTCTAATGATACTAGATATGAATTGGATAGGGCTGGGCTATTGAGTTGGGACAAGAGCCACTTAGGGCTGAATTGCATGTGTACAGTACTTTAGAAGTGGTGGTATAGGCAACAGTGGTGCTTTAGAGAGCTGTCTGTGTGACTTGGCTCTTCTGTCCAGCCAGTGTGGTATAGTGGTTAGAGTGCTGGACCTTGGGAGACCAGGGTTCGAGTCCCCACTTAGCCATGGAGCTCACTGGGTGAGCTTGGGCCTCTCAGCATAACCTACCTCACAGGGTTGTTGTGGGGGTTAAATGATGGGGGAGAGAACTGTGTATCTCTTTGGTGAGCAAGGTGGGATATAACAAGCTCAAGACCAGACACAGCAAGGCCCCTTCCTTTTGATTATTTTAATTCTGACTCTTCCCTATTGGTGCTGTCCACAGCCCTAGTGCTGAAATGGCTATATATATGCATTTGATGCAGCCAGCATTCTAAAGTAATAAATATTAATTATATATACACACAGCAATTGGGTGCAAAGGTCTGACTGTCTGACTGAGCTGGTAAACTTGTGGGGTGGGCTCTGTTGCTCAGATTTCAGGTGACAAAAGTTCTCCTCCATATAATAAATTAATCCCTTCACACAGAAAACTGGCATGTCAGGGAGAACCCTTTCCCTCGACATTTAGTTTTTTGCATTGATGGAAGGCGCCAGTGTACTCAAGCCTGGAAATTGGCTGCAAGGCTCTCTCTCCCCTCACCTCTACCAGGAGGGGGGCCAGAGTCTTGATGTACCACAGCACCCCCTACAGTGGCAGGAAAAGAAGCTGCAGCCAGTCAGCCCCAAAGGTATCAGATAACCTATGGAACTAAAATGGGCTGCAGCTGGAGAGCCTGACTTCCATCCCATCTGACCACATTATCCATCTCTGGCCCTTTAGAGCCCTGTCTGCCACTGTGGAACCTGGCCACTGGCCAGTTTGGACCACGCCATTTGTATCTGAGCCCAGATAGTAGAAATTGGTCACCTTACTCAGTGTTATCTACCATGGCTGGCAGCAGCTCTCTGTGATTTCAGATAGGGGTCTCTTCCAACCCTATCTGGAGATACCAAGGGATTGAACCTGGGACCTTCTGCATGCAAAGCAGATGCTCTTCTACTAACCTACACCCCAATAGGGCTTTTTAAAAAGGGGGTCGCGCAGCAATAAAACTGCTTGCACATTTACAAAGCAAAGCAGGGTCTGGCATGGTTTCAAATTGGATGGGGAACCACGTGTTGAGATTGCTACATTGCACATGACCTTTGGGTCCCTTCCAACTCTACAATTCTATGATTCTTTAAGAACATTCAATGACATCCACCTCCAGCCTAAAGTGGTACCAATCTGTCCAGCTCACAGCATTGTATGCATGATGTTGCATATGGCATTCTTTTCCCCCACCCTGTTCATGCTTACCAGCATGTTAAGTTTTCTTATGGCCTAGACCATGTCCACCACGCCTAGTGAAGGATTAAGGAAATAGGTTTCTTTGGGGAGTATTGGAAATGATGGTTAAGAAAGCCCTGTGCTGAAAATTTGGCGCATCCTTCATCTTGGTAAACTTCCATACAGTTAAGCCAGAGAAGGTGTGTCAGATTAGCATTGGCCCTACTCTGTATAATATTTAAAGCAGGCCTGACTACAAGAAATTCAAAAGGAGAACCTTGAAATCAGAATGGATGGGATATGCCCATATGGACAAATGGAGGGTGGCTGGTTTTATTATGTTGTGAGATGGATGGGTTCTGGATGCATGTGGAGCCCATGCCTCTCTCCACAGTGGGGATGGGCTGGGGATGTGCAGCTTGCTGCTCAGCACATTACACAAGAAGCATGAGTCACTTGCAGTTCCTCTGTCAGTGCCTATTATAAGCAATGTCTAAAAGCACACAGAACCTGTGCTCTTGTTTTAACACTTGCCTTCGCAGCTATCTCACCTCCAGACAGAAAAGGCAGTGTGCATCTCTCTTTTGGACCCCACCCCCACCCACCCTCCTTAGATGCTCAGACCTACAGGTCTAAAGGAGAAAATTGACTGTGCTGGTTATCACTCTGTTAACCCCAATGATTAATTACTTAGAAGACTGGTCTAAAAATAGACCACTTGTTTTGCCTGCTCTGCGCAGGTAAAAATTAAATAGAGAAGACTTGGAATTTCTACTAGTACTCACAGGCATTTTTAATTTTATGAGGATGTTGTTCTACGTCACGTGTATTTATAAATGCTCTTTACTTCCTTGAGGAAAAGGTTTACCTTGAATTAACCTAGGCATATGTTCCAGAATATATATACAGGATCTGACATCTTCACAAAGCTCATGCTGATTGCATGCATGCAATGTGCTTCATTCTAGCTAATATAATCTATTTTAGTAACTTACATTTGGGTCAATCTGTTCTCATACAAATTCTTTATAAATACGTCTCTTCCCCTCCACTACTCCCCCCTGCAGTCTGAACGGCTGACCTAAGTATTGCAAAAATAAGAGATTCGAGAACAAGTAGCTTTTAAATAGATTCTTCTGTCCAAAATACTGTTTTAATTTTTAAAAAAATTAAAACATTTTATTTAAAGTATACAATTTCTAGGAAATAGTTTTTTGGCAACACTACATCTAATCAACAATCTCAAGACAGACACTTGAATTTAAACCAATTTTCTGTCTCTAAATTAATTGGGCATATATTGAATTTAAAAACCTTTACTGTTTCTGATGCTTACTTGTTTTGTCTCTGTGACAGACTAAAATTATGGTCTCCCTACACAGCTATATAAACAGATAGCTCATTCTTCTGTCACATAATCTAGGGTAAATTACTAGAATCAAAACTGAATTCATGAGTTTCCTTACAGCAAAATCCTGTGTATGTCTACTCAGAAGTAAGTCCTACTGAGTTTCAATTAGACTTAGTTCCTAGGCTAAGTGGCTATAGGACCGCAGCCTTGGTACCCAAGTCTCCTTTTATTTAGATATTTACCTGTTACATAAATAACTAAAACCCCAAGTGTGAGAAGAAGCTATGGACATTGCCAAAACTATTGCTACACAACCTTTTACTCTCCTTTCAGAGCCCCACTGATGCCCTCAGGTCATTTTCTCTGCTTTGATGCAACAGTGTGGATCTGCTTGCACATTACTTTGTTTTTCTGGTCTCAGGACCACAAAGCCTTTTAAAGCATCAGAAGGCCTGGTGCATGTTTAGGAGTTGCAGCCTCTGGGACTGTCACTGGGTCAGCAGTCAGAGGGGGCCCTGCAACCTTGGGACAGAACAATGAGTGCCATGGAGCTAATGTGAAATGTTTAGGTTTTGAATTCCAAGGCCCACCGATGTAGCATCTAGGAAAGGCGCTCTGCAGCCAGAACGAGCAAGTCTCCTAGTTGCAGTGATCAAAAATAGCCAAGGGAGTTTCACAGACATTTTTGTGCTCTTAAATCTTGGAGTAAGTACTCATTGGCTAATGTCTCTATAGTTTCCTCTCCTCAATAGCAAGAGATATGCAAGCTGAATTATGGAAAATTGGCCTGATGAGGGATTAAGACTGGAGCCAGCTTGTGGGGTGCTGCAGCTGCCACCATGAAGTGGGGGACTTCCTCCTGATAAGATCTTGAGGAAAGGTGTGACAACAGCCCCTTTAAAAGGGTTTGTTACCTGTAGAAGCAGCTTTTTTCTCATGTTAGTGGCCCTTCCTATCCCTCCTTCCCTTGCTTTTAGAGTCTTCCACTGAGGCTTCAAGTGACCACTAATTCTAGAGGTGGAAATAAATGTTTACACTCAACCATGATTGGCCTTCAGATAAGAGGGTTGTGGTTTTGTTTTTTCCTTTTCCTATGTGGATAGTAGATGATTGCTGGGCATATTCTACTTCACTGTCTCAACCTAGTGAAAATGGCACTGGGTATGATGAGGGGGTCTCGAGGAGGCATTCCAACTTCTGGCTAGCTCAGGGTGGGCCAGGACTGACACCCCTCATCGCAAGTTACCAGTGGAATGACAATCACATAGCACGCATTACACTGTCTCCTTTTGGCATTCCACAGTGGGCATTCTGGGGTGGTGTATCAGGCTTCAGCTTGGGAGTCATAAGGGTTATCCAATCCTGACTCAATGCCATGCCAACCCCACTTACCTTGCTGTAGTCAATAAACAGTTATGGCCAGTTTTCTCCCACACCTGGTCATCAGTCTGCCATGCAAACAAGAACTCTAAAGCAACATAGTGCTCTAGTACATAGAAAGCTCCCTTTGGTCTGCTTAGCTCAGTATTACCTGTGTTGACCAGCAGTGGTTCTCCAGGATTTGAGAAAGCAGAATTTCCTAGCCTTACCTGGGGATGCCTTGAACTAAACCTGAAACCTTTTGCATATAAAGTTTGTGCTGTACCAATGATCTCCAAACCTTCACCTAAGAGGAGTAAACAGTATGTCTAAGAACCAAACCAGATATGCGTATATATGTGTGCATATACATTTGAAAAGCAGGGAATTGGAGGAGGGTGTTAGCGCTGTGTACTAAAAGGAGTGCATTGGAGAGGGGAGCAAAGCTCACCCTCCTTCCCTGTGTTATCTTGCTCTGCTACTATAAACTGTTCTTCCTCAGCCCGCCTCTCCTATCAGAAGTGAACAAGCATGGAGGAATGGAATCAGTTCCAGTTTAGTGGTGCTCATTGAGGCCATCACTGCCTCCAGGCACTAGTCTACCAAGTGCACCACCTCTCCTGATTCAGATGGAAGAGAGAGAGGGAGGGAGGGAGATGAATGTCACCCACATATTGATGGTAATGTGCTCAAAATCCCCATATGACAGCTCCCAGCAGTTTCTTATTGGTGCTAACAAGATGGGAACTTGCAGGGCCCCATAGCACAAGTGCATAAGAAACTGCTACTGTCTGGAAGTGACTCTGTAGACAGGAGTAGAACCACAATTGTCCCCTACTCCAAATCCACAGAGTCACTCCAACGGTGTCTAACTCTGCAGAGAGATTGACGAGAATCAACACAGTAGGACTTCCCCATCTCTCCCCAAGTAAATGTTATTAGTTATGGTGACCAAGGTGCCAAATTTTGGTGCCAAAATTAGGCCTGAAGCCATCCTGAAAAGATCCAGATAATCTCCTTCATCCAGACATGTGTGTATAAATAACGCATATCTGGGCTATATTACAGGGCTGTTGTGAGATGATCTCTCTCAGCCCCAGACAGCAGTATTAAAATAATATTGGACACGGGGTTATATTACATTGCATGGCTGTCATAAGTCACTCTCTCCAACAAAGCCAGCACTACTATCTTCAGTATATTGAGATAATATACTGTGGGCTGTATTTGCATAACATTTTTTTAATGTATAAAAACCTTTGACAGAATAAAACCTGACTTAGAAAGAACACAAACACTTTGAAGGAGTGCAGTTTGACACATACACAGCAAAAGAAACATACACATACAAAACAAAACAGTGACCAGTGAGCAAGGTCCTTAACTTTTCATTAATTTTTATATACAGCTCTCACTGTTTCTGGGTCCTGCAGTCTAGGGGGGCACACTGTCAAAATGTAAAAAGGAAGTCCCATCTCCACACAATTGAATTCTCAGTCTAGTCCTTTTCTTGAAGTCTCTCAACTGAATTTCTACCTGACATCCCTCATATCATCAGTTCAAGACCCATTGTAGCCTCACATCCTGACACTGGGCAACTTTGAGCTAAATTAAACAGCACTGGAGAGTATTGAAAACATGGGTTTACAAGTGACCATTCAAAATGCAGATCAGTTGAATGGCCTTACAGGCTTCCAAGGAAACATATAAGGAAAGAAAGAATCAGTTGATCCAACTTGTTCCTAAAATTTGTAGGCACTAAATAGAAAAATGCTATGTTCCAAAAATACATTAGAGAAAGATTTGATTCAAACTGCATTTTATTAACTTTACAATCAAATTACCCACTTTCATAGCTTTACTGTGTAGCTTGGAGTAAACGCATTAAATATTCAGGAATCAAATAATATTATATTTTAAATATTCAGGTGCAGGGATTTTCTGAACCGAATATGCTGCATATGCATTGGACCCTCTGTCCAACTTGGAAAACAGGCCGCAGTTGGTGCTTTGTATCTTGTGCAAATATGCGTT